AAGTCTTTATAAAGATGTAATATAAAACAATAAGTCTTTATAAAGATGTAATATAAAACAATAAGTCTTTATAGAGATTTAATATAAAACAATACATTTTTATAAAGATGTAATATAAAACAATAAATCTTTATAACGATGTAATATAAAACAATAGGACTTAATAAACATGTAATATAAAACAATAGGTCTTTATAAAGATGTAATATAAAACAATAGGTCTTTATAAAGATGTAATTTAAAACAATAAGTCTTTATAAAGATGTAATATAAAACAATAGGTCTTTATAAAGATGTAATATAAAACAATAGGTCTTTATAAAGATGTAATATAAAACAATAGGTCTTTATAAAGATGTAATATAAAACAATAAGTCTTTATAACGATGTAATATAAAACAATACATTTTATAAAGACGTAATATAAAACAATAAGTCTTTATAAAGATGTAATATAAAACAATAGACTTTTATAAAGATGTAATATAAAACAATAGATCTTTTATTCACAGCCACGAAAGACAACTTAATAAATTGGAAATAGATTATTTAGTTAATATTACTCCGAGTTTAAGCGTATTTTATGTTTTGATAAAAAATACATAAATGTCAAGACATTACTAGATGTACTTCCGCAGGGTCTCCGAAAGTGTTCTGTTTCAAGAGTAAATAAAACAAAAGTTAAGAATAAGAAATATATTCATTTCTTGCTTTTAAAGTTCATACGTCATGCTGTGTTGTAGCATACAGTGTGCATAATTCTTCTCGTGATTCATGGCATACGTACGTTTTACTGACGTGACGACAGTACAAATTGCAACGTTAAGCGTCGCTTATGTGACGTGATTTTAGAGTCTACTGACTGACTGACAGACAACACACTATTGTACGAGTGGTTAAAACAGGTAACCCTTCCAGGCGGCCTTCGTGTTGTAATTGAAATCATGATTAAGTACAGTATGCTGGACTTTCTTCTTGCCTTAGTTGACTTACTGTTGCAGGGCAACAGAGTTCTGTTCACCGTATTACTTCTTTCGCGGATTAACCCTTTATTGTTAAAGTTAAGAGTCGTGCGAGAGGTGATTTAGACTTTGTATCTGAATTACCTAGTAAAATTATCCACAACACTAGTTTATTTATGTCGGTATCTTTATGCACAAACAATGAACATGGTTTTGGTGTTACAGCGGTAAATTATTTTTTGTGAACATTATCCAGAACTCAAAATGGCGTATTTAACTGTTTACACTCGCAAAAAAGAAACCCGTCATTCTATAGGTATTTGAAGAACTTGTAACATTCCGCTACAACTTAAACAGCTCTATTCAGTTATACAGATCTGTTCCATATCCCAGAATCAATGAGAAATGTTAAACAACGCTGTGGAATTAATATTTGAAATAATAATTTTATCTGTAATAATGATTTCTACCACCATGTAAGAAGAACCGTCTTAGTTACAAAAATGTTAGCTCGTATGTTGTGTCGAACTGCTCAGACACACTGACGAAACTATATTTAAAGGCCACAGTTCCATAACTGTAGCGTACTTGTAAATTTAGTTCATTGTTTTAATTTTTACCCAATAAAGTTATCTTTCTCTTGTGAGCTCATTCTGTCACTGTTGTGTTTATATAACGATTCCGAACTGTTTTTGTTATGTCGCGAAGAATGACATATCAATTCATTCGAGAAGCAGTGATAAATGACCAAATAGAACCCATGACATACTTATACAAATGTCTTAGGTAGCACAACTGTACAGTCCTTATTTGACCTATTTTGTGACATATTTTTTTTTATAGTATTAAACATTTAAATGAAATTATATTCCATGGCGTAGTGACAAATTTGGGATCAGTTTGTTTGTTTGCTATTAAGCGTTGTGCCCATCACGAGTATCGAAACCCGTTATTTAGCATCACATGCATACCTCCCCGCTGAGCCACCGGGGAGGGGTGGTGGTCTTGGGATAAAATCTTTTATCAATTAATTACAATCGGAGAATCAACATAGACAGGTTTACAACAGCCTAGAATCCTTTATCGGTTAATTACAACATAGACAGGTTACAACAGACTAGAATCCTTTATCGGTTAATTACAAACATACTTTGTTTGTAATTAAGCACAAAGCTACACAATGGGCTATCTGTGCTCTGCCACCACCGGTATCGAAACCCGGATTCTAGCGTTGTAAGTCCGCAGACATACCGCTGTGCCACCGAGGGCATACAATATAGACAGGTTACAACAGCTTAGAACCCTTTATCGGTTAATTACAACATTGATAGGTTACAACAGCCTAGAACCCTTTATCGGTTAATTACAACATAGACAGGTTACAACAGCCTAGAATCCTTTTTCGGTTAATTACAACATAGACAGGTTACAACAGCTTAGAACCCTTTATCGGTTAATTACAACATTGATAGGTTACAACAACCTAGAATCCTTTATCGGTTAATTACAACATTGATAGGTTACAACAACCTAGAATCCTTTATCGGTTAATTACAACATAGACAGGTTACAACAGACTAGAATCCTTTTTCGGTTAATTACAACATAGACAGGTTACAACAGCTTAGAACCCTTTATCGGTTAATTACAACATTGATAGGTTACAACAACCTAGAACCCTTTATCGGTTAATTACAACATTGATAGGTTACAACAAACTAGAATCCTTTTTCGGTTAATTACAACATAGCCAGGTTACAACAGCCTAGAATCCTTTATCGGTTAATTACAACATAGCCAGGTTACAACAGACTAGAATCCTTTTTCGGTTAATTACAACATAGCCAGGTTACAACAGACTAGAATCCTTTTTCGGTTAATTACAACATAGCCAGGTTACAACAGACTAGAATCCTTTTTCGGTTAATTACAACATAGCCAGGTTACAACAGCCTAGAATCCTTTTTCGGTTAATTACAACATAGCCAGGTTACAACAACCTAGAATCCTTTTTCGGTTAATTACAACATTGATAGGTTACAACAGC